ACTACTACTACTACTACTACTACTACTACTACTACTACTACTACTACTACTACTACTACTACTACTACTACTACTACTACTACTACTACTACTATGATTACTATTTACTTGTTCTCCAAGAATATAATTCCATTGTTCTTGTGGGACACTTCCTAGTACTATGTACCAAGAACAAGGTTTGCAAGAAGAAGTTTTTCAATTTGAGGAGCCTAGTACAAGAAGCACAGCAGTACAGTACACTACAGTACCGATCTGGTATGCCAAGGTTGGCAAATTTCACTGGGAAGGCCAGCAAATCTTGCAGATTGGCTGTGATGTCAACAGAATTGCCCAGCAGTACAGGCAGAAAGTCCTCTGCAATCACCCTTTTGACAGGGGTGAAGGTAGCAGCCATGTCCAAGACCATGTGCCGGTGATGAGTCCTCCATTCCATCTGGAGGGACTTTGTCAAGGTAGCAAAAGCAGCCTGGGGATAGCACTGGGCAGTACCTGCAAGGAGGCAAACCCTTTTAACCCATGGATCAATCTGCAGTTGTACTACTACTAGCAAACCATTGGTCTCTGGCTACATCAGTGCCAATGAAAGCTCCAATATACTGGTGGCCATCACAAAATTCAAAGTTGAATTCCTGGAGGATTTCTTGAGACTTGTCCCAGTTCATGGGAGGCCCAACAAAGATTCTTTTTGTCAGTTCTTGAAAGTACCCCTGTTTCTTGGGACCAAGCTTCAGAAGCAATCACATGGTTCTCGCAGCAGCAATCTAGAAGAAATGGCCACCATGCATGGCAGCGTCCTCATCTACATGATACCACTGCTGAACAATATCCAGGAATGGTTCCTTTTAAAGTTTTTAAGGAGTGCAACCACCAGCAAAAGCCTGTACAATAGTACTAGTAGTCTACCACCATTTGCACGAGATTACGTGTACTCTTAGTAGGTGTTAAGTGTGTGTGAAAATTGAAATTATAAGATTAGAATTATTCGAAGATTACCAAGCGCGTTCATGAGAATTCCGAAGTTCCGATTGGAACCTCATGTAGACCTGGTAKGGATTCTACATGGAGGTTCTCTATTCCGGACTCGTGACATCTCTATTCTTCGTGAGATATTCTCGAATAGTATCTTAGACCTCTTACGATCCTCGGACCTCCTACGATCCTCGGACCTCTTACGATGCATCCTATGATATATACATAGGAAGCATACCTTACGATAGGTACGTAGGAATGGTATGATCCTTCATTCATTTCTTCGGAGCTTGTATCGTATACGTACGTATCCTTCTAATACAGTACGTACGTATCCGTTGCACCATTGTTGACAGCAGATCACCCTGCTGAGTAGTACTAGTACTACTAGTAGTAGTTATAGTGGGGCGGGTAGTACCAGCACCACCACTACTACTAGTATCAGTTTTGGGAGACTTCATGAATTCCATAAAGCAAGATTCCTCAGGCTACTAGTATTTGCAAGGGAGCTCTACCTGCAAACTACTCGACACCATTTGCCCATTGCTGGATCTGTTATACTATGTCATAGTATGTTGGAAGTGTCCTCTTGAGAAAGTCCTCAAGATCACCAAGCTGTATTTTTTATTTCAGTAATGACATACGTATCGATAGTATGGTGGGTATTCTGTCAGTCAGCATTTGGGAAAAAAAATGGTTCTAACAACAGTACCTAGTAGAGCTATTAATGGTAAGTCCCGTAGTTGCAAGTTATTGGCAATCCCCGTACAAATACTAATGGAAATATTTAGCTCATTTTCCAGTTAAACCAGTAAAAAAAGGCATCCAATGGACAAAAATAAAAATATTTCCATTGTTTAATTTCTCGCTAGTACCAACATATTTTAATTAGTGGTCCTGAATACTGGAGATAAGCACTGATTTGATATTGGCTACGGTGCACTGCACTGCACTTCACTATCTTTAGTGCAGGTAGCCAGTAACCTTGAAGAATTCTTACAGTCCTGGACTTACCGAGGAAACAAAAAGAAACTTTTTTAGTGTGGATTTGTACAAACCCCGGTATATTAATTTTTGCAAGTAAATTAGTATCTTGACCAAAATAAATTATTCATTTTTAACTTAAACATTCAGTCATTATTGTGACAGCAAGTCATTCTACTACTAGTAGCAATAACATACTAGTAAGTTTTTTTGGCCGCCGTGTGCATCCTTAAAAAAAAAGACGGCGGCGGCCGCGGCCGCAACCAATTCCAAGTAGTAAGGACCAGTAATAGAAATATTTTTCAACATTTTTTTGTGAAGGGGGGGAGAGGGGAAATAAAGAAGGGAAAATGAGAAAAAATTGACACCCGGGGAATTGCCAATACTTTAACTTGCGACGAGGGACTTGCCATTAATAGTCCTAACAGTACCGTACGGCACCTTCAGATCGGCGAGCAAGAAACAAAACATAATCGATCGGTTTATCAAGACGTAGAAGGTGTCAGAGGGGGGCTCCTGAGTGACAACAGAAAGATGCCTTCTTATTCACCTTCCGGTCTCAGGGCTGTCTGCCAAAGGTTACTACCGATCCCAAATTCCACTTACCCTTTCTTGCTGGCCTTCTTATTCATTCACTCTTTTTGGATATACTATGACATTGCAATCACGTCTCACGAACGCCACCGGCCTAGAAGGGAACCAGTTCGCGTTACAGAATCATCTCCATTGACTCCTTTCTACCCTCCTTCCCCTGGAGTGAAGTATAATGGATACGCAAGGTCATTTCCCGTGTGGGAACATCCTTTCCCGTGTGGAGATCTTGAGGATATCGGTGACGAAAAATTGCAGCGAAGTCGAAAACAAGTCAACGAAGGCTTTTTTTACGTGAGGCTTCTCGACGCGTCTCCCTCCATATGTTCAAGTGTGACAACGCGGATTGGCCGCAATGTTGCACGGCGGCAGCTGCATCAGTCTCATGATCACGGCGGTAACAACAGGACCAAGGTCTGCACCAGTCGAATCGGATCCCAACGTGCAAAGCAGTTCTACGCGCGGTCTCCTCAAAAATCTTTCTTGTGGAGTGTTGTGCGAGAGCCAGTGGATCGTCTTATTTCTAAGTACTATCACTATTCCCGTCCGATCGAGAAAGGGGGCAATCGTGAAAGAGCCTTTTCGGAGTTTCAGCACTACGTTTTGGATAGCGAGAGGCACGATTATGGATACTATTTTCGATCTCTTGGTGTGAAAAGAACGCTTAATCCCTACGAAAAACAGCACGAGGCAGACACCCAGGAACTGCTGGAAAGCTACGACTTTCTTGGAATTTCAGAACGGATGGACGAATCGTTGGCCGTTTTGAAATTAATCTTGAACTTGGAAATTGAAGATGTCCTGTACCTCGCCACTCCGAAGGCTAAAGGGACAACTACACCTTCGGGTAGTAGCATAGACTTTTACCAGCACTGGCAGAGAACGTGCCGTGCCATTCGTGAACCCGATGTTACGATGGAGATGAAGAAGTGGTTTCACAGTGAAGAATTTGAAGCATATATCGAGGCCGATGTTTTATTTTACAAGGCAGTGAATGCGTCACTCGACAAAACTATTTTGGAAATTGGACGAGAAAGAGTCGAAACGACAGTGCGGCAACTCAAGTGGGCTCAAAAACGCATTGAGGAGGAGTGTCGTGGTGCTCGATTCCCCTGCTCATCGGGAGGCGAGTTCCAGAAGGAAACAGATTGTTTTTTTGCTGATGTTGGTTGCGGATACAATTGCATTGATAGCTTGTCTGAGACTTTTTCCCAAGATCCAGTTTTCCAGAAATTAGCAAAATAACTAATGGCATGACTTGAGACCATGGTCGAACTACTCGTACTAATGTTCTTTGGTAACGAGTAACCAAACATTCAATTTCGGATGTTTCTTCCAAAAGAGATATTTGATTTTGATGTTGTGCAATTAGTTTCTCGCACTCAACTCCGTTTTCCGCTGAGACTGAACAATCTTTGAAGAGCTCAATCTTCAAAGAACCGAGTGAATGAACACAGAAGGAAGGGCAGTAGTCCGTGAAAAGCATTATGTACTATGAGTATACGGTTGTGAGGAGGCAGCATTACGAATACCCGTAGTTGTCCCCTTCCTGCTTGGAAACGACTCTGTCTTCGGACATATCTTGGGACATTCCTAATCATACCAAAAAGAAACATAGCTTTCAAGTAGCATTGCTTTGTGTTTTTTTAAACGAATACCAAGTGCTAAATTTTATTTGGTCTTTCCCATTTATTTCCCAAATTTTGCGAACAGCAGTCACAACTCCTGAAGAGTAACAAATGAGAGTCACAATCACAAGAGAGTTACTGAATAGCTTTCTTGATGTCCTCGCTGCTGGTTGGAACGCTGAACATGCCAAAGTTATGTTCGAACGATGCTTCGTGGGCAGCCAAACTAGTGGCAGCCGTGCAATCATTCAGGGTGTATACCTTGAAGCCCTTCTCATAGGCAGTTCGCATGGTGCTTTCGACACAGCAATTTGTCAAAAAACCGCCCAAAACAACATTCTTCACATTGTGTTGCCGAAGGAGGAATTCTAAGTTAGTCGACGCAAAGCTGCACAATCCAGACTTGCCCTGGACAATCAGTTCACCTTCGATGGGTTTCATTGGCTCGTAAATTTCGGAGCCAGAGTCTCCACTTTCAAAGGCACTTCCATCCTTAATTCCGGCCAGGATGCCATAGGGATCCTTTGCGATTTCGTTGTGACCGGGACGAAAGCTGATGGGGACATGAACAACGAGGATACCCTTCTCGCGGCAGAACTTCAGGAGCTCAGTTGAGTTTTCGAGCATGTTAGTCTTCTCCATAACCTCTTTCGTTGCAGGATAGAGTTTTCCACCCTCGGTGGTGAATTCATTTTGGTACTCAATGAAGACACAGGCAGTTTCTTTCGATTGGAGCGAGAGGTCTGACATCGTTCTTCGATATGTTTGGAAAGAAGAAAATTAAAATTCGCTTTGTTTAAATAAGAATATGGAGAGTTATGACCATAATCTTTATGTACGTTGACAACCATTACGTTACGGACAACAGCACGCCACTTCTAGCGCTGACTGAGAATCGAAAGAACGAACCGGGACGAGAAATATCTGTCAGATCCTGAAGTGTCTACGTCTGAAGAGAAAGATATCGGTTAAAAGTACTTACTATACTTACTACCAGTACTTGAATTATTATGTTACTCGTACCGGATGGTTCGTACCTCCTACGTACTGAAGTACAGTACCATGTTCCACACTGTAGATTATGCCGCAACACTTCGCCAGTAACAGTACTTCACTTTGTGATGACTGGTGCGAAAACCCAAGTACCGGACCGTACCTGACGGTACGTACCGGTACATGAATGATTCTTCGCAACGAATTTCCTTGTGGTCAGAAGATTCTGAAGGTAAGCCAGAGTTCAGTGAAGTCATTTTCCATTTTCCTCTTCGAGGTCCTTTTTTCGGACATATGACCCAATATGGGGATGAGGTTGCGCAGACATGAGATGTATTACCCTGTGTAGTTTCAATTGCAAAGATATCGTACGTACTCATCTCGTATGGTACCGTAGTACAGTTCTATCGCATTCGATTTACAATAGGTTATGAGTAATAATTTCATAGCTGTTTTAAGTGTCAGCAGCAAGCTTTGCTTGTGGGAAGGGTTTTCTCTCCTCTTACCATATATGTGCATATCTATTGTTGTTGTTTTTTGTCAGTGCGGAAACCTTTTCCGGCTTGCACTGAAAATTAGAAAAAAGAACTCATTAAACAACCTCCACCAGGAAAAGGACCTGTCAGCACTCCTCCACCAGTTCATCACCTCGTCAACCTCCTCTATAAAAGATGCAATCTATATACAGGATCTATTCATTACAACAAGGGAAAGGGGATTTAGAAGTTGTGGATTGATCAACMAAGTGGTTTAAAAGAATTAGCTGTATTCAATAAGCAGCGGCAAAAACTGTGGAAAAATTAGGGAAAAGAATCAGGAGCACCAGCAACAGTAGCTTTAACAAGCAGTGGCTGTATCCAGCATCCTACTTATTTAGCATCTGAATCTCAACAAGTTTCCACCATATTCAGTGGTGTCTTGTCCATTGAATGCAGCTTCTGCTTTCACAGCATCCGCATCCAACCAGCAACTCCTATTTGCAATGCTTCCTCCATGCAGTATTTAGATATCATATAGAGTAGGCCAGCTAATGTACGGTCCCAGTTGTAGATTACGGGCTATCTAATTACCGTGCACCGTGTAACGACTCGTGGGATTAAAAATTTAACTTGTACTACCGGTACAGTGGGGCACGTGCTGAATTTTTGAGTCCAACAAGTGTGCGACCAAATAGTTTTGCGCGCACATGCTCAACCAACAATTTTGGCTTCGAACACATGCAAATTTTTAATCCCACGAGTCATTACACAGTGAAAAGATGGCCCGAAATCCACGCACAGTACAAAAAACACGTAGGGCATTAAGAGAGGTTCAACTCACTCAAACAGCCATAACTTTTTCCCCAACAGACGCTTAAGTATGATAAGCACATGGTTAAAAAGAGAATTCAAAGAGCTTTCGAATGCAGTGGGGGAGTACGGCATCCGACAAATATTGACTGATATACGTTTACGTATATATTGAATTGCTAATGTATGACTGGTGCGTCTTTTTTTGCTTGGCCAACGCTATGTGGGAGTGACTGTTCAAAGGTGTGTGTCGACGTTGCGTCGGTAGAGTTCGTATTAAGGAGAGAGCACGCCTAAAAAATTATCACCATGGT